CCCTCCGCCTCAGGAACCGAACCGAACCCGCCGACACGGGAAAGGGTTTTTTAATGCGAGTTTCCCCTCGTACAGCTCGTTAAAACCCCGATCACCGAACCGGCACGAGGAAAGACACAACAAAATAAGTGGGAAAAAAAAAACCCAAACAAACAACAAACAAAAACCCAACTGCTGAATAAATACATAATACACATTTTTGGACATCTCAACGTTTGGCGTATCAATCCCTTCGTTTGGTAACAGACAGCTCTGGCTTTCACCTAACAGGTTTTATTACAGTTTTATTTCTCAAACGGTCGCCCCGCCTGGATTTTTCTCCCCCAGGCACCTCTGAGTGTGTGGCCTCAAAACAGACCTAAAAAGCTCATGGAAAGCGGTGGGAAAAGCTCTATGTCACCTTCCTCAGGCACATTCCAACCGCAGGCAGTTCCCTGCCCGAACTTACACGTGTAAAGCTGTTGTGCCCACATTAATGTGACCCGTCCCAGAGGAAGGGGCTCTGCCCCTCACAGTCAGGCAGCAGAAGCTGCAGACACAGACAGTGAAGAGAAGGTGATTTTTTTTTTTCCCCTAAGGACAATCATGATGTGAATTTACTGCTTGTGAAACGCACTAGTCTGGCAGAGCCAGAGCATAACAGTGTGGGATAAGCAGAGCAGGGATCTCACAGGCACAGGCAGGAAAGGTTTCTCCCCTTCCCTCTCTAACCATGGTACTACTCTTGGTAGATTTTTACACTTACTAGTTCATCACAATCTCTCCGCACTTCCCAACCACTCATTTCTATCAGCCTCGACCCCACTGGAGAACTGTCTGCAGTGGAGTGTTTTGGTTTGCAATCTTAAATAATAGAAACGCTGAATAATTATTTCCCCTAAGAACCAGAGAACAGCTCTTTACACCTAATGTGAATGGGCCATCAAAGAAAATGACCAAAACAATCTCTGACAATTGGAATGAGGCCACCAAACACCACCAGGACCTCTGGGATGTTATCCAGAGATTGATCAGAGGTTTTGACAATCTTAACATGGTAAAGAACAGAGACAATTCCACAGTGAAGCCCTTCTGACTGATGCAGTTGTTCCCAGACTTCCCTTTCTTAGATCTGATCTTCACAGACTGAGATGGTCTGAATTTGTGTGGGTATCCCTGCTGCTCTTAGCTGCAGAAACAAAAGGTAGGGAGGCTGTCTTATCTCTTCAGTCTAATCCCAGAGGTAAAGCATCATTAGAGGACCTTCCTTCAGCTGATCAGAAGCACCTATATTGCCACTGCTGCTGCTTTGAACTTTGTGATAGGCTTGCAAGGACTGCAAAGAGGTAAGGAATCAGATGATCTTCAGGCTCTTACTGCTGATTTTCATCTGGTGTGACATTTAACTCTTATGACTGCTGGAATCAGCTCCCTGATTGCTTTGTATTTGGAATAGTGTCCAGGAATTATTGTCTAACATCCAGTCCTGTATAGCTGTAGATGAAAACAGGCTTCCAGCTTGTGACTTGCCTCCAGAAAGCTGGATTTCCAGTCCAGGAAAGCATTTTTTAAAGCCAACCACTCCGTGATAGAAGGTTCAAGTAAATGGCACTTCCAAGAAACAGCGGATGAGGAGCACAATCAAAAATGAAGGCACAAAATCTCCTTCACAATTCTACAGCAATATTCCTAGATATTACCTGCAGTATCAGAGAGGGAGATCTTCCAGTAGTGGAGTCTTAAAATACCATTAAAAATCAATATCCAAATACCTTTGAACAATGCCTTAGAAACTCTCAGCAGCATTCCCTGTTTCCACTCAGAGTCAGCAGCGAGCAGGGCCAGGGAAAGGTCCTTGCTGGGAAGCAATGCTCTAGGGGTCAAGAAAGGACACTGCGATATAACGAGTCCCTTTGGTGGTCGGGAGCCCTTCGTGGTAGTGGGTCAGGCGTCCCGGGTGCATGAGGGTCCATCCTTTCCGCGGAGCTCGGATGGAGCAGTTGTAGCGCAGGAACCGGCAGCCTCCTCCCTGATGGGAACACAAGAGACACATCAGCTTGGAAGAAGCACCTCAAGGAAAGGGCCTCTGCCTTCTCCTGGCAGCCCTTCTGAAAATGTGAGAAGGTGCTTGGAGAATCCCCTGTGTGTTCTGATGCATTCAGAGTTCTCCTTCCTACCCTAGCCCAGTCAAAAATTGCAATCCTTAGTGTGAAGAAGCCAGATGTGGATAAGGAAAGGGTTTTCAGCTGCCTGGACTGCTCCAGAGGCTGTGCTGCATTCCTGCCCCACTGGCACTCACCTCATAGTCTATCCCAACTCGGTTCAGGGCAATGTTGATGGTGAAGGTGGAGGCGTCGTGGTGGGGCATCAGGGACGGCTGCTCGTCGGGTTTGTAGCGAACCACAAAGGCCAGTTCAAACTGAGTCTGGGGAGAGAAGAACAAAGGGCACTGTTACAGGGCTGTAGGGGTCCTTGGCTGCTGAGCTGCAGAGCAGGGTGTAGCACTGAAACTGCATTCCACTGCTAAGGGAGAAAGGCAGCGACCAGGCAGGAGAATGCCACTGGGAAATTGCACATTTCCTAAGGCTCATACTTATGTCACACTCCAGGGTCAGTCCCCCCACACTAGGAAAAAGTATGTGTATTCCTAGAGGATTCTTTGCACAAAGCTGCAACTGGAAGAGGTGATCAGAAGCTGGCCAGTTTTGATGCTCAGGTGCACATACCTTAGTGTAGTATCCTGGGTACAGTTTCTCTGTGATGGGTGCAATATAGTCCAGAAGAAACTTATACCATTCTCTTTCAAAGCCAATTTGGTTCATGTGTATGTCAATAGTTGGGACATTCTCATATCCTCCTTGTATTCTGCTATCCTGAAATAGAATCACAGAAATACCCATAAGGATGGGGATCCTGGAGTTCAGGAATGAAAAGCACTTGTTTCTGGTAACTACAAATAAATAGGATGTTTACTTATCACAGTTTGCAGGATGGAAAACTCATTTCAGACAATAATTAAAACCTAAGGGAAACGATATTGCCATCATGAAGGCTGAACACTGTATCTTCAGAGGACACTAAAGAGGACTCAAAAATTAATTCACATTTAAGAACAAAATTAGGGTGTCATCTCCAGTTTCCTGGTTTAACTGTGGGATCTAATGCCTTCCCATAGGAGGCACAGCTGCCACCAAATATGCACAGATAAAAGCAGGACCCAAAACTCAAAGAGCTCCTGCTTTACTTACCGTGTTGTCACCTGTGGACCACTGGCCATAATGTTCCATTTCTTCCACCAGCTCATCACAGGCAGTGTCAGTGAATATGGGGAACCAGTAAACATCTGGGCAGGGCTGCAGAAAGCAAACAGGTGAGAACAGCAGAAACAAGGACAGGTGCTTGAGGCAAAAGGAGTAAGGTTAAACTGAGTGCAGACTGAGTCAGTTCAAGTGGAAAGACACTAAAATATCGAGGATAGAAATTTGTCTTCTGATTTATGTGCCCCATTTCCACTTAAGAGAGCTGGAGATGTACTTCTAGGAGAAGGACTTGGCTCTAAAAATACTTTCAAGGTCATGCTCCCTGTGCCGAACTGCTTCTTCCCAAGAATGACAATAGTAATGATACAAGCACTGTCCCGATGCTGATCTCCCATTGTGATGGATAAGAGTGATGTTTTCTTACCATTTCTACCAATTTCCCCTTCAGAGCTGCTGTGTAGTTTTCATGGATGTATTTTTCTCTCCAGTCCTGCAGACAGAAGATAAGCAAACCAGTCATTTCTGTGGGGCCTGCTTAAAGAGGCAATGAAAGGACAGGCACTCATGCAGTATTCACAGGCTTTGAAGATCCAGATGCTGTGAATCTCATAAACACCCTCTCTTTAAATTCTGTGACTGCACTCCTCATCCCACCTGAGAGACATCATTATTACAAAGCCTGGACCTCCCGTGCTGGTGAAGCAAATCATCAGATATTCCCATGCAACAGTGCTGTGCCTGCTGAGCATGCAGGTTGTCTCACCTCAGGATTGCTGAATATTTGCCAGAGGTCATTGTGGAGGTGAGTTGTCTGGTAATTCTCCAGGGACAGGATGTGTCCGAACTGGTGCCGGTTTGTCAGGTACATAAAGACTCCCTGTAGGACAGAGGAAGACTGTCAAGGCCTTGCATTTCTGTGAGCCACCGTGAAATATAAGCACTGACAGTTCTCCAAGCTGTTAATTTACTCATTCTTCCTGTTGTGGCCCTTCAGTTAAATTTCCACCCTGGATATGAGGAGCTCTGAAAGGCTATAGCCAGAAACAGTAATTCTGTCTCTTGTCAGCCAGGGCTGGAGGCAGAGCAGAATAGCTGCTGTGAGGTTAGGTTCTTCCTTCTTACCATGTCATTTCCATTTAGAACAGGCCTGAATAGGCCCAAGAACAAAAATGTTATCCACATTTAGTGGTCCCTGCCTTCGTGTGGTTTCACAGCAGGACAGAAATCCCACACTGTTCCAAAGCCTGCCCAGCACTGACTAGTGCCAGTTCACCCCATCCCCTGCCCGGCAGAGCTGAATGCCTTGGAACTCCTTAATCTTGCACCCTCCACCGTGGCATGCAGCTCTCCCTGCCAGCCTCTCTCCTGGACTGACCTGATTCCTAACGTTGTGGCAGAAAGCCATGTCAGCATCCAGTTTGCCACTGTGGAAAAGATCTTCCCGGTCAAGCTCCGAGCGCAGCGCCTTGGCTTTAACCATGTAAGCGCTGCTGATGTAGGGAACGTTCCAGAGCCCCCTGGAACACAGGGAAAGCACAGTGAGACCTGAAATACCACCAAGACAGAAATTGCTGGACTTGACAGGATGGCAGCCAGACTTGCCTAAAAGAGCCAACTCAGAACTGTAGGGAGAAACCATACCAACAGGGATTGTCATTCCAGAAAAAAAATTGCTTATATTGCTCAGAGCTTTTAAGCTGCACAAATGCTAGTCCACTGTGAAAGCAATTAATTGCTACTGTGTGCTTTTGCTGGGGACATAATTAATGGCTTGAATCTCTTCCCAGAGAGATCAACATATTTTTTCCAGTGATTTAAAGAAACTGAACTGGCCAAAAGTGCATAAGCTGATTGCCAGCATGTATTGCACATATAATGGCCTATAAAAAAAAAGGCCCCTCAAGAATATGAATGAATCAACAATTCTATTTTGTGAATATTCCATTCAAGGATCACATGGTATTTTATGAAGATTTATCTGAAAGAGATTAAACAGCACTTTACAGGATTGTAGAGGTCACACTAACTATAATCCATAGGTGGGAAAACATGACATGAGTAAAATGAAGTGATTTCAGCAGAGTCAGGACTCTCAAATCCTTACTCTGATCACAAGAAATCTCATTATCTCTGCTCAAGGGAGAACACAGAGCAGACACTTCCTTTCCTACACACACAGACAGTTGTGCTCTCTGGTTCTTTGACAGCAGCCAGTTTGATGATCATGTGCTGCAGCAAGCTTTACATCTGAGGGATTATATCAGGGAAAAGCTCTTTGCATACTCACACCCTCCGCCTTTGAACAATATCCACATAATCTTCTGAGCGGGCATAGTATCCATCAGGGCTCAGAGCTCCCCAGAAGTTGGACCACAGCTTCTCATGCCGGCTCACCAGAGGGGCAATCACCAGCCTGGCAGCATGAAAGGGAAAGGAATTGCAGGACGGGATGTTACCACAAGAAGAAAAGGAAAATATTTACAAACCACAGGACTGTAACAGCTATATTCTTCCTCACTTACAGAGCTGGTGTTTCCTTAACTCTGTTGGAATAAAATTCCACATAAGAAAGGGCAAGTATGGTCCCAGTCTCCTCTCTAATTGCACCCTGCACCAGGTCTCTTAGAATCTGATTTGTTCTACTGACTATATAAAGACAAAAATGAGGATGATTTACATCCCCTGCCTAAAATCCAGGGACTACAACTACAATGTAAAAAAACCCCAACACCTAAGAGGTGTTTGTCTAACATTCCATCTCTGACACAGTTCTCCTGGTACCTTACACATCTCAGTGATAAAAGAGTTCACAGCATTCCTTGTGTGAGATGACCACAAGGATTGCTCAGACCAAAGAACTCACTTGTTCTGTTCGATCAGGATCCTCAGAGTCTCTGTGTTCTTCAGAACTACCTCAGCATCCAGGCTAAAGTAATAGTCACAGTCAGGATCATTCCTGCACAAATCCCTACAGCCAGAGAAGAGAAAAGTCACACCAAAATCCTCTTAAAACAGAGCAAGACAAGGGACAGAACACAGGAATTCCTTCACCTTGTAGTCTAAAGGTGTTCAGAAAAGTTCAATTTAATGTAACAACCCAGGGGACCATCATAGCACAAGCACATCAGATTCAGTATCCAGCAGCAGACAAACACACAGCCAAAATCACATTTACCAAACTGTTTCCTCAGCACAAACTGGAGAGGTTCCCATTTACAGTTGGCACAAATCCACACCAGAGCTCCAACATCTCCTGGTCACAGACAGGGAGATACTCTTCCACTAGCTCTTAGTTTTACTACTACACTCCTCCTCTCCAGAGATACAAGTGCATATTGTTTGTGATCTATGGCTGGGCATGTAGATGACATGTGGGAGGTACAGGATTATCCTTCTGCCAGAGCAAAGGACCAGTGAGAACTTAGTCTCTGAAAGTGGAGAGATAAAGCTGGTATCAAAGTTGACTTTTTTTTCCCAATATGTAAGGGCATGGGAGTTAGTGCTAGAAAAACTGAAAGAAAAGGGGGACTGAAAAAAAGAAAAGCAATCACTTGACAGGGATGATCCTCAGAAAAAAAACAAATGTCTTAGTTTGGACAGGGGCTGACTCTGCCAGCCATCACATGTGGCCTCTTCACTTACATGCCCAAGTTACGTGCCTCAGCGTTCTCCACCTCATCATCTGGCCCCATCACCTTGACAGAGAGATATTCTTTGCCATGCTCTTCTACAAAAGAGTCCACCTCCATCAAGTGATGTTCCTCCTATGCCAAAAATAAGGAAAAATGGGTAAGATGGGCTCATCCCAGGCCACTCAGCCTCCTGTTCTTGAAAATGCCAAACCAGATGGGCAACAGCTCTTCCCACTTCCATATCTTTACAGCTGGACAGAGCTATCTTATAGGTGCCATTGCAGATAACTACTGGGCTTACAGAGGCTGGAATTATAGAATCACAGAATCAGCCAGGTTGGAAGGGACCTCTGAGATCATCAAGTCCAACCCTTGATCCACCACCACCGTGGTTACTAGACCATGGCACTAAGTCTAGCCCAAGGTTGCAAAGGTGCCTAGAGTACAGGGAAGGTGTACATTTTCCCTACATTTGCTAAGACCATCACAGGCCATCTTCACTTACACTGTTGTGAATGAAGAGCTGGATTCGTTGCTTCGGGTAATGGAGGTTACGAAGACGTAAGAAAAACTGGGAGAGGAATGGGGTGGGCTGCTCGATGAAAATGCCAATCAGGATCATTGGCAGTGCCTCATCCTGCATTCAGAGAGGAGAGGAGAGAAGTGGTGACTCGAGTTCCACATCAGATCCCATTTTAAGACTTGTCTTTAAAGCTTTGAACAGACACATCAAGCCTTACCTTAAACCCTGTGAGGCTTCGCAGGCCTTCATCACACACAGTGCAGCCAGTCTCAAATGTCCATACTTGAGGAATGTAGTTTCCCAGGTAGTTCAGCTGCAGCTGCAAAAGGCAATTTGCAATATTTTGTATTACGGGGCAGGGGAGTTTCTTTGTGTGCAACCCCACTGTAAAATCACATTTCAGCTCCATTTACCTTCTCTGGGAACTAAAGAATCTGAAGCACCACAGCCCGAGGGTCCAACTACACATGGGTCTTTGAACCAGACCTGGACCTGCCATGGACCTGGACCACTTATTATTTCTCAAATACAAGTGGACACAGGGACAGTCAATAAATGTGAAGACAGTAACCAGATCCATCAAGCCTAAAGGGTCACTTTGCAACAAACACAGACCAAATCTTTCTCTCAAGAGGTCCACTTACCTTGGTGGGTCCATTTCCATGAATCACCACAGGCAGGGTGTCATATAACAAGTTTCTTGCTCTCACTCGTGAGTTTTCAAACTTCATGACTATCTCATCTGGAAATGACATTGCCAGCATGTTAATGCTTTTACTGATAATTAGCAGCACAACCCCTCATTTCTACTGAGAAACCACTGAAAGATGAAAGCATGGATATGGATAACTGTGCACAGGCAGTTTAAGGGCTACAGACCATAACTAGAAAGAAGAAAAAAGTGTTCAGAGTGATTCTGTGAAGTAACAGGATGGCTGGGAAATTGGACAATGATGCATCTTTGCATTACAATCAGTGACTGCTCCCAGGCCCCCCGTGGCTGCTTCTCACCTCCCCTGGCATTCCAGCAGGGTTCTGAAGCGGAAAGACAGGCAAGCCCTGGGCAGGGCTGTGTGTTTTTACTTGCACTGGAAGTCCCTCCCAGTTTCAATCCCCAGGGCTAATGCAATCCGACATGCCTGGAGATCAAAGTGGCAAGGAGGTGTAAGATGAAAAACCTGACCTGCATTCCCTCAAGTGGAGAAGGAATTGCAGAGAGAACCTAGTTGGTCACAGTGGAATTCCAAACAAATCCCAGAACTCTGGCAGAGGCTTTTACTGAAGCTTATTCTGCAGGGACAGGCATTTCTGAAATACAATCCCTTCAGCCACAAGTTTATTTCTGGTATCAATTTGCAGTTTCATTCCAAGGAGAAATGACCTTCCCTCTCCCATCTCACCTAGTGCTCCGTCTAGGTTTTGGAAGATCCGGCTTCTTTGGTCTAGACTGATGTTGATACTTTCCTTTTAAAATAATGAGATAAATAACCTTAATTAGAACACAGGGGGGCATCCATTCTTTACATGCTGAGTGAAGATATATCCCATTCCTATAATGATTTGCAAACTCTCCAAGCCCTGAAATCTAAAACACTCCCAGATAATCATCATTTTCACTCGAATCTGGGACAATTCACCATTTTCTAAAACAATTTGTATATATTCTATTAGGCAAAAACTGTGCAAAAAAAAAGAAGACACTTTAGAGCTGCTGGGGGTATATCAATAAATCTCCAGCATATGAATGAAGTGCACCTGCACACAGCTATATAAACCCCACAGATAACACACAGGAATGCCAAGACAGCAAAACCATCTGCTGTGGAGAGTTTCTTGCCATCTATCCCTAGGGCAAGTGTTACCCAAGCATTGCCTCAGGTACCAGTGCCAAACCAGAGCACAGTAGGGTGCAAGGCCAGCTTGTGCAATCTTTGTTTTTATCCCCTGCTGCAAGTCACACTCTGACTGGGTCAGACTAAAATGCAGCTGTGACTTAACAGAGTTCCATGTCCCTGCAGGCATCCATTAAGAGCCATTACTGGGAAGGACAGCAGGGTGCTAACATCCACTGTCAGAGTGCCAAGGCAGGGGAATTACTCAGCCCTTGCAGGGCATAGGGCCAGAACTGCAGATGAGAACATTAAAGGAACTGTTCATGTTAAATTATCACAGGCCATACTTGGATTTAGGGAACTAAAAAAGTCCAGCTGCTCTGAATTTTCTACCAGCCCTGCTGGTAAAAAACTGCAACTCTTTCTCTAGTCAGTGTAAAAGCAGTTCCTCAATACAAATGTTTCCTCTCGTTTGTAAATGGCTGTTACAGTTTGAGTTCTTAGTTCCTGTGCACTTGTGGTGTCTCAGGGACACACTGGCCTGTGTAATGCACAACTGGGCAGGGACAGCAGACCCAGAATGGGTCTGGATGCTTCAGCCAGTGTACCACTCGGTGCTGGAATAGCAGTGCTGCTTCCAGGGTCCATTCCAGGCTTCTGTAGGATGTCACATGGCATTTACCTATAATGTACTTCAGTGCTAGGTTGGATATCTCTAAGTCAGCACTGCACTCAGGGGTTTCACATCCCCTGGGAGGAGGTTGGTATGAGCTTCCAGTCATGGAAATTTCAAGTCATCTCTTTTCCCATTCATATTTTAAGCTTAAAGATAAAAACTGCTAATAACAGAACATGGGGATACTGGCTAGAATGCAAATTTTCAGGCTCTCAAAATCTATATACACCTACTCTTTTTTCTGGATCCAAGAAGATGTTTGTATAGAAGAGCTGGTCACTGTCATCATCCTCTCCTTTCCACTCCTCCACAAGCTTCTTCAGGTTTGGAGCATAACCTATGAAGCCTGTGGGAATAAGAATGAAGAGGCATTTCATCCCAGATGACCAAAAAGTGGAATAACTCCTCTATACCTGTACTCTCACTTCTCTCACATGAATTCTCACTACACCCTGTGTTGCAGCAGAGATACACCAGCTTTTAGTTTGTTCACCACTTCTCCCAAGGGCCAAATAGGAGAAGAAAGCTGAAAGAGGTTCTCAGCTGAAAGCAAGCTCTGTGTCTCACCTCCAGAACCCAGGAAGCGCTTTCCATCTCGCACCTGAGGATACTTGGCTTCCAACTTTCTGTCAGGGTAGATGTAGTTCTCTGCTGAGAAAACCACCTTGCTCTTGGCTTGTTTGAACTTCTTCAGCAGTTCTGTGGGGCCCGAAGCAAAGAGCACGTCATAGCTAGAGAAGGAGGCAGACAAAAAGGGACAAAAAGGAATGGAGACAGAAAAACATGTCAGTGAGAAAAGTTTCTAGAAACAGCTAATTCTTTGGGAATCCCTTTCTTTTAGTTCTGCTTCACAGTATTACATTTTTTTGTGAAGTAACTGTAGCTAATTAAAGCAGAGTCTTATTCATACGCTGGGCATATGAAAAGACACTGAGAGTCCAAACTGTCCTTTTTCCTCTTCACTTTTCTCTGGCAGACCAGTTCTTGGCTCTCCGGATTGTGCTGCAGCCTACCTCATCTTATAAAACAAATAATTCTGGTAAGAAAGGCCTGCCTAGTTCCAGAGGAATTGTCTGCTCATTCTCTGCAGTTACAGGCAGCCAAATTCCACCATGGCAGGATCAGGTACAACACTATCAGGCAAGAGTTGGAACCAGCCTATTCTGCTGAGACCTTCCCAAGTGCCACGGATGCAGCTCTAAGTGATTCTCAGGCAACTACAGAGAAATCAAGGGGAAAAAAAACAGAGGTCTGGACACACTTTTCAAAAGCAATCTACTTCACAGTTCACTTCCTGTCCAAACAGCCTTATGATTCAGACCATGGCAAGTTCTTTCCAACCATTACCTGTCTACAAAAAGGATGATCAGGTCCTCCTTATCCCCAAACTGCTTCAGAGCTGCTTTCAGGAGACGGACCTTCTGCCCACCTCCAGCTGGATTCTGGTCATCTCCACCCTGCCACTCCTCATCCAGCCCCAGCACCTACACAACGACAGGTACAGGGTCACCTGAACAGGGCAGTGCTCACAGGAAAGGACCAGAACCCCCAACCTGACCAGTCCTGATAACTGTGCAAATCACAGCAAAAATAACAGCCCCAGGACAAATGGACTATAGACATATATTTATATATATATATCAGCTTTTGATCCACTCTCTGGGCTGGCCAGGCAGAGTAACACGTAGCACAACAACAAAGCACTCTGAGCCACAGGGACAGGAGCACGTTCTGTACAGTGTGTTTTGGCAGAATAATGGAAAAGTGCCATGGGGCTCCCTTGAGCAGAGTTATGGATCTCATCCCAAGCCAGCACTCAGGATGGAATAACAGACTGCTGCAGAAATGCCCCAGTCACAGTGTTTTTCAGCCAGTTCAGTAGGTGTGTCCTCTCCTGAGCTTTTAATCATTTTATGGCCAGGCCTTATCCATTTCCACAATTCAAAATTCCCTTTGACCAACCACCTCGACATCACCTGGACTTTGTAGTTGAAGAACTGGGCTGATCTTCTGAAGCGTTGGAACCCCTCAGTCTGCTTGGTGGCAGCAGTCAGAACCAGCAGGTTTTCTGCACAAGGGGGAAAGCACAAAGAGACACATTCAGCTTGTGTTGTTTTCACAACCAGCTGTTTCACACCTAACTTGATCCTGGGTATAAAACAAGAGATTATGGAAAGATACAATTTCACTGCCTGAGTCAGGAGCTAGAAAAAGAAAATAAAAAGTAGTAAGTGGTTTCTTGCCCTGCTAGTGAAAGCTACAATTCTCTTCTCTCACACAGAGTATGAAGGAAATTAAAGTTGAAGATAAAAAATAGAACTACTACAGAATGCCCATTTGGAAGGCATCCATTTAGTGCAGTATTGGTTTCCTGTTCCCCACAGAGCTGCTTTTTTGTCACTCAGCATTGACTGGGTGTAGGGAAAACCAAAATTAGTCCTGAATGTTATTATTCCCTCTATATGGCAGCTCCTACTTTCTACTGCATTCCTGAGGTGTTTTCCAGAGTTTTTCATACATATTCAATGTGAATTTAATTGTGCTATAACTTTCACTTGCATTCTCCTCCCAAACTTGCTTTTTATTTCCAGTCCCTTAAAAATGACAAAGCGAAATCCTGAAGTTCTCTTTCAGAAGTTTGTCTGTGGTACCACTGGAATATGATTTTTATGGGGAAGTTCTGGTTTCCTCATTGCAATGATGAAAATGCTATGCTTCACTCTAACAGTTTTGCTGAAGTAGGAATTTGTATAGGCTCTGGAAACGTGCTTAAATGCAAATCCTGGCTATCCGATTTAAACATCAAAAAATACCAGGAAAAACTGAAAGCACATTTTCTTGGCCTCAGCAGGCTCTTTTTGGAACAATGATTTTTTTCAATGGATGTACCAGATGTATCTTCCTAATGTACCCAAACTGATATTCTGTCTGGCCTTACAGAGGAAGGATCTAGGAGCTGGAGTTACAGATGGACCTGGGAAAGGCAGCAAAAGTGAAAAATAAGTGTAAGACTCCACATTAAGAAGAAAGAGGATATTCTCCCAATCCTGTACCTGCATCAGAATAAAAAGAGAGGAGATTGAAAACAGTCAATAGGTCAGCTCTAATTGTATTTTGTTAGACATGCTCACAAAGGAAGTGACAAATAAAAGAACAGGAATCCTGAACTGGTGCAGATTTAAAGGCACATTTTCAGACACATGAAGTGCATTCCTAATCCAGCTCCTCCAGCACGCTCCAGTCTCTGTCAGAGGGTGCAAACAAATGAGTAAAATATGTATGTCCTCAGGGAATATGTTAAAGCCATTACAGTTTCTAGCCATGCAGAAAGCCACAGCAGCTTTATGAGAGCTCTGAGCTCATGGCTTCTGAAAAGGTGAGGATCATACTGCCAAGGAAAAGGGGGGAAAACATGGGCTTGCCAGACAGGAATGTCAAGGCAAACCTTAAATTCTAGCACCTGAGGGGAGAAAGCATATGATAATGATAAAAGAAGGAACAGGAACGACAGAACTCTGACTGCTATGCAATTATTTCAGCCCCAGATCTCAGGCATCTCACATTAAGTAAATCACTAATTCATTTTCAGGCTGCCACCCCGAGAAAGCCACACACTGTTTATGATCTGACTGCCAGAAGTTTGCTGGACATGACTAAAGGCTGCACAGATGCACAGGAAGTGGTGTCCTATTTCCAAGGCAGAAAAGGTCCCTCCGTGCAGTTTGTGAAGTTGGAGAAGCACTAAAAGCCAGCACAGACAATTATCATCCCCAGCAGAACTCCAGGTTACAGATTCCCTTCTCATTCCTGGTCTGTGGGGTAGGACTCTGAGAGACACTAAGCTCAGTCTCTGTTCTGAGAACTCTGTAGTAGCGAGAGCTTTCCATCCCCAGAGACATTCCTTCAGCCCAGCACTGGAAGCTTGTGCTGAGCTATGCTGCCTCCACTCCTTCTCCTTTAACCCTTTTTTATCTTTCCCAAAGATTTTGCTGAACACTGGTGCAGCTGATGGGTACTGCCAGGGACAGAACAGTAAAGCTTTTTACTTTCGGTATCACGTGCAGGCTTTTTAAAACACCCTAAATCAGAGTGATACTTCCCAATTTCCCATGTCACAGTCACTTTCCATATGTAGAAATGGCAGCCTGTTGAGCTAAGCTGGGCCTCCTGGGCCCAAAGGCTCCCTGGGCCATGCTGACAACTAAAAATCATATAAATACATTTAATAATGGGATGGATGCAACATACAAACACAGGGTGGTTAAAGAAGCAAGCACTGGTTTAGGAACCAGGGGATTTGCACTCTACTGCCAGCTCTGCTATGCAACAAGGAGCCAATCCAGCTCTCCCTCTGTTTTTCCATGTGTAGAACAATAATAGAAGATATTTACCACTTTTGTGAGGGTTTTAGAGCTCTATAGATGAAAAGTATCCTGTAGGGACAAAGCACTAGAACAGGAACTCTGATGTCAATATCACAGTGAAAAGGTTGTATAAACTTCTCAGCTTTTATGAAGATTAAAAATCAGTGACAAGTTCAGTAACAAAACAATAAATTTAAAGTTATTTACTTCAGCCCTGAGTTGACAGGGAAAGCACAGCTGCAGCTGCATTTTAGGACAAGGAATGAATTTATCCCTAGGCTGTGCTTTGGGAAATCTTACTGTGCCACTTCCTGTTAAGATGGTGTCCAAAAAAACACCATTAATATGGAGATCAAATAGAAAAAAATCAGTGCACAATTTAGTAGTGGATAATATAATCTCTGCATTAAATTTACTTTACAGAAGTATTTTTTAAAGATTCAATTAACTATAAATAACTATGCTTAGATCTTTAGATCTTACAAAGATCTAAAAGAACATCCAAGAGAGCAGACAGATATCATTACTCTCACGTTACTCTGGGGAAGCTGAGGCACGACAAAGGTGAGGCATTTTTTTCTTTGAGTCACACCAGAAGTGATGAGTTCAGAAAGCAGTTAATTCTAAATCCCTCTTCCTAACCAACATGCCTCATTCTCTTTCCCAGCCCTCAGTTTTAGCTCTAGTGCACTCTAAAACCTTACCAAAACCATGGAAGATTTGGGATGTGCAAGGAAGGCAGGACAGCACAGAGAGATTCTTTGTTTCAGTGATGCCACTATAGCTAAAGAACTCCCAACACTCCCATGGATACATGTAACTGTATTAAGTAATAGATATATAGTAAAGGTAATTATACCAGAATCACACTGTGAAGGGAAATATTCTAGGTAACAAGATTAAATCTCCTCCTAATTGCCACGTCTCTAATGAAGACAGAGATAATTATCCCAACTTCTTGGCAGAGTGACAGTGCGTGAAGCCCTTTGTCAGTGCTGCTGACACTGCAGCTGCCCTAATCCTCTGCCCTTCTACCAACTACTCCAGAGTTTCTACCAACTGATGTTATTTTAGGAGCATCTCGGATCTTGAGTCACAGCGTGGACAGTCAGGGATCTAAAGCTCTCCCTTTACCTCGTTCTTAAACCGTCAAAGTCCAAAAGCAGGGAGAGCTGACCCAGGTGGGATGGAACCCAGGGGACTGAGAGTCCTTCGCCGGGACGAACCGGCGTGCCAGGCTGTGTCCCACAGCCGTGAGCTGCCTCGGGACCCGGCGGGAGGCTCGAGGTGCCGCCCGGGGGCTCAGCCTGGGCTGCGACAGCGGGACAGGGGCGGCACCGCGGGGCTGTGCCCGTCCCTCAGCCCTGCCGCCCGTCCCCCCGCGCCCCCGGAGCCCCCCTTACCTTCTGCGCGAGGCACGGCCGCCCCCCGCCCCGAGCAGCGCCAGCACCGCCCAGGGCAGCAGCACCGCCGGGACAACCATGGAAGCGACTTTCCCGGCCGGACCCCGCGCCGGGAGCCCCACACGGAGCGCGGCGATGCCTGCGGGACGGAGCGGGCGCTCCGGAGGCTCCGGGGCTGCAGGAGCTGTGCACGCACCAACCCGACCGCGGGCGGGCGAGGAAGCGGGGAGGCGGCTCCCTCCCGGGCCGCCCCCGGCCCGCGAGAGGCGGGCGGGCGGCTGGGGCCGGGCCGGGAGCGGGGGCGGAGAGGGAGCACCGGGACGTGGAGCTCGGGGGCTTGATCCCGCAGCTCCGGGGCTTCACCCGGGCGGCGTGCGGGGCACCCCGGCCGTGGGACGCCGGGGGAGAATCGGGCACCGAGCAAAGGCGTAGGAGGAGAGGGGTCAGTCACTCTCTGGGCAGCTTCAGCTGGTGCTGGGCTGCAGCTGGGCTGACACGGGCATTTATCTAGGAAAAGCAGACCAGGAGTGGATTGTAACGTTATGCACAGCTCTGGAAACTGGAAGCCTTATTAAATATCACCTTCCCACCTGTTGCCTCCCATATTTCCTTGGTGAACACAGAACCTGCAGTGGTTTTGTTCCCTGCACTGACTGGTTTTCTCTGGCCGTGTACAGGTCTTTAAGTCTTACATTTGTCTCTGTGGCCTTGTGCTGGGTTTTCTTGCTCTAGCCCTGATGACTTATCTAGGCATCTTTTTCTAGTTCATTCTGCCAATATTTGAGAACGGGCAAATAATCCCATCTTAAAAAATTACACTTTTTTTAACATTTGCTTTAGGGTCGCTTTTACACTTCAGTAAGGTTTAGATGTTGGGAAACCCTTTAGAGCCTGAGGATCTACCACTGACACAGACCTTACATGAGGCCTGTCAGCAAACCAGCTCTGTAAATTAACAGAAATCACAGATATCACAGGATTTGGATTTTCAAAACAAACCCAAGAAGGTATGTTCTTAGAGGAGAAAAAATAAAGCACACTAGAAAGGCCAGATTGTAGCTAATGAATATTCTCTGTGCTTCATAACAGCATCATCCCGAAGAACTGCCATTACAATTTGTTCACTGGGAATATTCTTGGGTGTGTTCAAAGCACTTTTCCTTCCATCCCCTTTCCCTGAAGTAGTAATTCCCTCATAATTACCAGGAAAACAGAATAAGTCTCGTGCTCAAGTGATGTACTACAGGCAACAACCCAAGGAAATACTAGTTCTCTCTAAAATAGTGATTTCAGGACACTTCCTTTTGCAAAGCTGCCAGTTTCTCTAAATAATTTTTGTTTAATTAAAAAAAAAAAAACAGGAAAGAAAAGAAAAAACCCAGATTTTCACTTTAGATTTCTTCAGTACTTTGCAGGCCCTGATAAATCTGTAGCAGCTTCAACACTTTAAGCCAGGAGCCACAGCAAAGATGCTCAGCACTTTCCCTTCAGACCTCAGACTGAGAGCTGGGACTCAACACGGGTTTTTAAAATTGCAAGTTTCTCATTTTGAAGAAGTTAAATCTCTCCAGTCTGAAACCAAAGCGGTTTTGCACACTGGAAATCATGAATGCCTCATTGTTTGTGCTGCTGTACCCAGCCCGTCGCTGTGTGACAGCTCTGTTTGCATTCTGCAACTCTGCCAGCCCAGAGAGCACATTTCATTTCCCCCCTCTGTGTTTGCACTGCTCTGTGCTCTCTGGCTGCAGTCGGTGCCTGTCTTTTTAAACAGAGCCAGCTGCCAGTGCAGATGTTCCATGAGTACGTGCAACACGTGCTCCAGGCGGAGCAGCAACTTCCTAAAAACTGGAAGGCTCAGAGCTCCGTTTTTCGTGCAGCCTCAAAACACACCGGGGCTTCTGAGGCAGCACCAGCCCCACCGAAACCCGCAGGGGATGGAGTCTCACCCACCCTTTTGGGATTCCAGAGCTCCTTCCAAAATCAAACAGGATTTTGCAGGAATATTCATTTGCATTCATTCAAATATTCATTTGCAGGAATAAATGAAGAATGTGTCTCGTCCGTTCCCTTCACTGAGCTGGTTCACTGGCTCAACCTGGTCGAGAATTTCATAGTTTTAAGTCACAGTGTTTGTCTGACTTGCTCGAAACTGTGTGTGTTCTTGTGTCTCCGGAGCGCTGCGCGGGATACAAAGCTTTCCCGTGCACATCTCAGTCGCGTCACTAAGTTTGTTCCTCTATTTACTACAGGGTGTGTTAGAACATGACTCGCTTTCCCGCACGGTCTCTGCCGTGGTAACGGCAGTGAATGACACTGGAATTACGGAAATCCCCTCCAGGCCTTTTCCATCGGTGCAGTGACCCGGGCGGAGACACAGAACACAGAACATCAGCCCTGGGCTGGAGCTGCCCGAGGACACCCGCGGACATCGCACCGGGAGCGGGGCAGGGGAGGAAATCCGGGACCGGGGGATACCCGGAGCGGGGAAGGGTTCCCGGTGCAGGGGCTCCAGGAGCCGGCGGGGTTGGGAGACAGGGGGGGCACCCCGGTGCTGAGGGGGGCTGGAGACAGGGCGGGTCAGAGCCAGCGGGTCCGGTCCGGAGGCTCCGGAGCCCGGGCGGGTCGGTACCCCGGGGGGGTCCCGGAACTGAGTTGATCGGAGCCGGCGGTGTCGCAGCCGGCGGGTCGTGAGCTGCAAGAGCCCCGGACCGGAGGCTCGAGGGCCGGGGTCCCGGCCGGGGGGGTCCCGTAGGCAGGCCGGGCCGGGTCTCTCTCCGCCTCCCGCCCCGCCCCGAGGGGCGCGGCGCGCGGCACGTCGCAAAAGCGCCGCGAAATGCGCCGCAAAAGCGCGCCAAGCGCGCGGCGATGGCGCCTAGGCCGGTAGCGCGGGGCCGCGCTCCCCGCCGGGCTCCCCCATTGGCTGCGCAGCGCCTTCAAGGGGCTGCCGGCGCTGCTGGTCCAGCAAGCTGGCGCCGGCGCCCTGCTCTGCTGGGTGGTGTGCTGCTGAGTCGCCTACTGTACCTGTCTGCGGCGGTGCGCGGGCGCGGGGCGCGGCCGAGCCGAGCGGGCGGCGCGCTGTGCCTGCAGGCGGGCCGCGGCGCCTGGCGCGCAGACCCAGCGCGGGATGCGTTGCCGTCTGCCCGAGGACGCGGCCGGGGGGCGGAGAGGCACCGCGGGGCCTGCGCTGGCGGGCATCACGGTGGGTTGCTGCGGAATGTGACCGCGGGCGCCTCTGGGTGAGGCCGGCCGGGGCCCCGGCGGCGCCCCGCGCTCGCCACGCCGATACCCTGCGCTGGTGCGGCTGGGCTCTGGGCGGGCCGCGGCAGGCGCGGCGGCGCTGGCGGCGCTGCGGACGGCGGTGCGGCGGTGCGTGCGTTCACACCGGGCCCTGCGCGGGGCCCGGGACTGCCGACGTGACGGTCGGAGACGTGGTGCCCACCGGGGCCGCCCGTCACCTCTATCCTCAGCGCCTCCGGCATCGCCAACCCCACGAACAGAGTGGTCGGCCTTTGAGGCCTCTCGCCCCCCGGCGCGTGCGTCGTTTCTCCGGCAGCCTGGAGAAGCGGTGCAGTTCGTGCTCTCCTCGGGCCGCCTGGCGCTGCCCGGCGGTAACAAGGCGGTGCTGGTGGTGGTGGCGGCCCAGAAGCTCGTGAGCCGCCTGCAGGTCGCGCCCAAGTCGCACTTCGACGAGACGGTGCTGTCCGTGGTGCACACCTCGGAGCCCACCGAGCCCGCCCGGCTGGAGGAGACCTTGGGCAGGCTGAGGGAGGCGGCCAGGAAAGAGATGCTGGAGGTGATGCAGATGGGGGTGGAAGATCTTTTCCAGGAGCACCAGCAGACCTGGTCTGACCTGTTCATTTCAGGTAAGGAAGGTGATGCTCAGCTTCCACAGAGAGTGGCTGAAAGCTCAATGACCTGTAAGGGCTCCAGGGGCTCCACTCTTCCTCAGGGGTTGTTGAAACAGTTTGTAATCCAGCATGCTTTACGATGTGGAGGACACCTGACTGCACAAAGGAAGTGATGGAAGAACATTTCTGATCATAACTCTGGGTGTGCTGCCTTCCATGGCTTCAGGAACTTCACTGATTTGTCAGTTGGAAAATAGAGTTGACCTTTAGTGACAGTAAAAAGACAGATTTCTGCATGGAAGTTAAGGACTGTCCTTAACAGGACAAGGTTGGTTTTTCCTAAGATTTCAAGGATGGTTTTGTAAGATTTTAATGGCCTCGTTGCCCAAGTAATGCAGAACTTGCTATTTTATAGCCAGTAGAAAGAGATTTTCCTTTGACAGATCATTCTTGCAGAGTCATGGTGACATCTGTGTGTAAGAGTAGCTTTGTCTGTAGGAAAGCTTGGCTTTCAAACTCCAAGTAGCGGAGAGAATGATTTGTCTTCTTAGACAAATACAAGGAGACATTTCACTGCAGTGTTTTATGGACAAAGGTTTATTAGATGTCATAAAGAACACCTGGGCAATGTGCACATTTGATCTTCTTTTCCTCCTGGTTAATGCCTTGTTTTCCTTTCGTTCCAGGGATTGAAATGAGGAAGATCACGGATGCTCACACCCCATCCAGTGAGACTGTCAACATGACCCTGTACTACGTGCTGTCCACCATGCCAGCCCCCCTGCTGGACCCCCTGATCAGTGCTGAGGACAGGGAGAAGATGGAGGGCAGCCTGAACTACGCTGACCACTGCTTCAGCGGCCACGCCACCATGCACGCCCAGAACCTGTGGCCAGCCAGGCTCACCAGCGTCCCCCAGATCCTGCAGCTCTCAGACCTGTGGAAGCTGACCCTCCAGAAACGGGGCTGCAAGGGCCTGGTGGCAGCTGGAGTGCACGGGCTCATGCAGGGGATGGTGCTGAGCTTCGGGGGGCTGCAGTTCACGGAGAACCATCTCCAGTTCCAGGCTGACCCCGATGTGCTTCACAACAGCTACTCCTTACGTGGGATCCATTACAACAAGGACTTGATCAACCTGGCTGTGCTGCTGGATGCCGAAGGGAAGCCCTTCCTGCACGTGTCAGTGAAGTTGCAGGAGAAGCCAGTGAGGCTGTATGCCTGCGAGGCAGGCTGCATGAACGAGCCCGTGGAGCTCACCTCGGAGGCGCGGGGCCACACCTTCCCCGTCATGGTCACCCAGCCCATCACACCCCTGCTTTATATATCCACAGACCTGGTCCACCTGCAGGACCTGAGACACACACTCCACCTAAAAGCTATCCTGGCTCATGAGGAGCACATGGCCAAGCAATACCCGGGCTTGCCCTTCCTGTTCTGGTTCAGTGTGGCCTCCTTAATCACTTTGTTTCACTTGTTTCTGTTCAAACTCATCTACAACGAATATTGTGGGCCTGGAGCCAAGCCACTCTTCAGGAGTAAGGTATAAGGCTGCTGCTTTTGGCTGCTGTCCACTGAGTGTTGTCAGCCTGGTGTTCTGTCAGCTGTGCCTGGGCAGGGTCTGTCTTGGACTGTGAGGATTTTCAGTCTCTCTTGCAACAAGCAACCTGTGACCTCTTCTTGCAAGGGGAGGGAATAGGGCAGGGATTGGAGCAGCAGGGATTATAAATATTAGCAGACATGAACTCATCATCTGCCCTTAGACATTTGTAAGGCTGCAGGTGGAGGCAGACACAGCTTTCTGTCCTTTTTCCATACATCATTGCTTGTTTCTAAGCCAGGAATGTCAGGAGATGATGTTTCTTGTTCTGCAATACCAGAAAGCTTGTGAGAGCTGCTGTGTGGAGATGTCACACCTGGTCTGAATGGGTGACGTGTCACACTGCAACACCCAAATGCAGGCTGGTGTTCTGACTTTTGGGACTCCTGGTCCATGTTCATGGATTTACAGACACTGTGCAGTCCTCCATCAAACCACATTTACCACCATTGTTTGGGGCAGGTGCTGAGTTGGTGTTTCTTCCATTCAGACAAAATTAAGGAAAGTACTGAGTGCTTTTTACTGTGAGTTGGAGGCTCTGGCTTCAAGCTCTACTGCATCTCATTTGGGTGTAAAGATTTTGAAATTATTGCTTAGAGTTGCCTTAGAAAACTTAGTTGCTAGTAAAAACTAGAGAATAGAAGGTGAGTTCTGCTCTTAGTACTGGGACTTTCTGGCTGTGTGTTGATACAGAGTAGAAATGCAAGACCAGACTGGATTTGCTGTGTGAGCTCCCTTGTGCTGTTCAGAGGCTTCCCCTCCTAAGGGCTGAACAGTTAAATGTAGCTTGTGTTTGAAAAAAAAAAAGGAAATAAAAAGGAGATAGTTAAGTGGAGCTGTCAGAGGAGAAGTTCTAGCTTTAGATTGCCCTGTTATTCCAAATGGTAAAAACAAATTCAATTTTTGATAGCTAAGGCTGGACAGAAGGTGCTAGACTAAACTCAACAGTTGGTATCTAAGGGGTGTTTAAGGAGAGCTGGAAATTTCCCTGTCAGCTCCCTGGCTTTGTCGTGGTGAGCACTGGGGATCAAACCTGATCCCAAGCAGGTCTGAATACCTGTCATCCAATGAAGGAATGAGTGGGAGGTGCTTGTGGCTGGACAGACTAACCTAGGAGGAGGTAGGATAGATGTGTGTGTCAGACAGCTGCTGTTACAAGCCTCTGATCATGATCCAAACCCTCGTGCAGAAGGAGGAAGGTGCTGGGAGGTGGTGCCAGTTGTTGTGTACACAGCTGACATGTGTCCTGGAACGTGTCCTTGGAATTATGTAATTATGTCCTTCTCTCACTGTTGTCTCTCTGATTGCCTTTGTCATCTCCAAGACTTGCCTTCTGCCTGTTCCCAAGTGACCTGTTGCCCGTTGCTGCAGGTGACTGTCCCTGACTCTGCTCACTGAACTGCCCAGAAGCGCCACAGCCACAGCCCAGGGCTGAGCCACCCCCAGCCTGGACACTGCAGAGCCCTGAGCGACAGCAAACTCTGCTGCCTCGGCCTGGGTGGACCTGCTGAACAGGAAGGTGATGCAGAACTTGATTCCAGAACCAGGGCAGAAGTGGGAGCCAGCTGAAGCTCAGAACCTCTGTAGCAGCGAGATGGATGGTGTTGGAATAACCCCCCGTTCCATGAGCTGAATGGGAACATCCCCGTGTCCAAGTGAACTTAGTCCTGCTTTCAGCCTCTGTTTGCACAAGACATCTGACAATTTTGCAGCTGAGAACAAGGACCTTTTGAAAGCAACAATCTTTTTGTGCCTTGCTATGACAGGAATCTGAGACTTGGAAGGTGTGGTGATGGAAGGGTTTATGCCAGAAGTTCATGTAACAGATGTTTCCTTTTCCTTGTAAGCTGTTCAGTTCCCTAAGAGTAATCCATTTGGTGAACATACTTGAAGATATACTAAGTTCTTTGATATTTTGATTTGAGTTTTGTTGGGTTTTTTTTTTAATTTTACAGGAGAATAAAGAATGATGATTCCCTTCAGAGAGTTAACTAGAAAACCTTAGTGTAACTTCCTTTCTGGTATACATTTTTTAATTTATTGCTTGGGGGGTGGGGGAGGATGTTGATAATTTTGCCTCCACTTCAGTAACAGTCAATTGATCTGTGGATATCTAAGTGCTGGTAACAGGTTTTTCAGCCTTTATGACTGTAGAGTGCAAAATCAATTTGCTGAAATTGTTTTCTGGATTTACACTTGGAAATGCTGTTCTGCAGGTTTCCTACTCTAAGCCTACTGAGACTTTATGCATTGATTTGTTTTGGCTATGGGGAGGGGAAGACATCCCACTTTCTAGTGATTTAAAGGTTGTTTGGTTTTAAAATACCAAAGCTGTTGTTTCTAAATAAATATCTTTCAGTCTAATCTGATTGGTGAAGCGTGGTTGAGTTTTGTGTTGGTTTTGTCTCTGTTCTTTCATGACCTTGCTCCCCACCCAGTTAAAACAAGCAGAGCCTTATGTCACATCTATGGCCAGTATTGACTGCAAAAGTGCTTGGATTATGAGAGAATACAGTGTGGAAAGTAATACAGAAATGGATCTAAGCTGGAAAGGTGAATTTGGAAGGCACAACTAGAGACAGAACCACACAGGGTCATGCTCATCTCCATTTCCCTGCTCTGTATAACTTTGTTCTCCCCTGAGGAACACAGGCCAAGCTTCAGTTTTAAGAACACAGAAACAGTCCCAGGGAACAATCAAGCAGCAGATTTAATGGCCATCCAGCAAATAATGACATTGGCACAGTTGGTGCTCCCAGGGGAAAGCTGGGGCAGGATTTAATTTTGAATTTCTAGGGGGGTTACTCTCTAGTTTCAGATGAAAAACCTCCCTCAGAAAATCAGATTTCAGTGTATGCAGCTCATCTGCAGACACTTCCACTTACTAATTGGTACAGCAGAGTTACTGCCCTGCAAGGGAATAAAAACAGAGGCAACAGAGTCCATGATAAATTGTACAGATGTACATTGTGTATGGAAGGAGACATTTGCTGTTCTGCTTTAACAGAACATACCAGAACATACCAGAAGCTCCTGCTCTTTCTTCCTGCAGGAGCTGCTCAGCCTGTGTGGAACATCTGGCACGAAGATGATAAGAGTTTCCAGGGTGCTGTTTCCAAACCACTGTGGTATCAGCTGGGGGCTGAGCCTTTTGATGTTCCCTGGCAGAACTGCCAACAGTGTGATGGCCATGGAGTCCAAGAAAGACTATTTAGACTAGGCCTGGAAAAGATGGATAAGCAATCATTACATAAAGCATGATGAAAAAAAAACCAAAACAGCTTTGAGAATGTTTTACATTAAATACATTATGATTCTTATGAGCACTCCCCCCCAGTAACAAAAGAACTGTTTCAGAATTCCCTCACAAAGGAGAAAGGGGAAAAGAACAGGGTTTTTCCATTTACAGCATGCAAGAGAGCAGAAGGTTATTTGTGAACAGAAATCCTTAAAGAACTAAACAAAATTCCATGTTTACAAGCACACAGTAAAGCAGGAAAGTTTAAATAGTGATTGACCATCAAAAATTTATACTTTTAGTTGTAATTCAGAGAAGATGATGGTGGCGTGGAAGTTAAATGGCATCATAAAATGTTGTTTAGCTTGTAAATTCAAGACACTAAGAAGAGAGCCAACTAATTAATGGGGGAAAAAAAATTAGAATCTCAGTTCTGCACTCAGTTAATCCTGGTTTCTGCTTTTGTCAGATAATAAATACAAGATGCCAGAACAGGGTTTGGTTGATCCAATTTGCAATTCAGAATGTGGCTTTTTCAAGTGCTATTGTCTGGGTAGGAAAATACATTCTTGAGAGGCAGACAAAACAGCAAAGCATTCTATACTTCTGCCTTCCACATGTGTGCTCCAGGCGTCCTCCATCCAGAGCAGTACCTACTGCTCCATGGAAGCTGTGGAAATCAGGGATTCTGCTGCTTGTTAATCCTGACATTAAACAACACATTCAGTTCAGCATTTTCGAGCCTCTGGTTTGGTCTGTATTTACAACACGGCTCTGGTTATAAAGCTGGCGTTGTGATATTTGTTTCCATTCTAATAAGTTTGCTCCCCAGGCGTGACCTGACTTATGGGCTAGAGATGTTTGGGTTTTAAATAACCAGCAACAGTTTTTCAAGGGTTGGGGGATGGAAGTGTGACAGAGGATGGGAAATTCCTGTAGCAGAAGACAAAAAGGAAGAAAGAGCCAAGGGTAAGTGTTGATATCAAGTCATTGATCTCAAATGTCAGTAATGAATCACAGAATAAGCTGAATTAGAAGGGACCCACAATGGTTATGGAGTCCAACTCTTAGCCCTGCACAGGATCATCCCCAAGAGTCACACCCTGTGCTTGAGAGTAGAATTAGGACACTTCCTTCTGTGGCAGCAGCAGCTCTGGAGGGGTATAAATGCCTGCTCTTGCTGCTTTGTCCTCAGTGGAAATGCTTTACTCCTTTCCATGACCAAGCTCACGCTGTTCTGTCCCAGGTCTCACTGCTTTGGGGTGTAAACAATCCCATTTGCAATGCTGCAGGAGCCCTGTTCTCCCCCAGGGCTGTGCCACTGCTCTCACAAACAGGAAAGGGATGAAGTCTGAGTCACCACCCTGACCAGGGTTTCTCCACCATCCTGGACAGCTGGTTCTTTGTATGGCTTGAAACACGTTCCACTTCCAAGTGATCACAGTCTGGTTTATTGAAGAAGTCTGGTGTGCTGAACACAAGAAACTTGATCTAGAAAAGAAGATGAGAGACAGCTTTTCAGCCAGTACAAAGTGGCAGATGCCATTCACTCACAAAAAAGCCCCCAAACCAGAACAAAATAAAATTTCAAGCAAACACAGAATTATACAATAATTAAGGCTGAAGGGGCCCTCTAGAGATCAACTAATCCAACTGTGCTGACATGTCTGAATCTATCAGTGTCTGAATACATCAGACACTTACTGCTGACACATCACCAAGTCTTAAAAAAATTCATTCAACATTTTCCTTCTGAGGACACCTTTGTGATGAACTTTCGAGGCAATGGAAATGCAAACAACTGCTACAGTTAATAAGCAACTAAAAGTTGTTGATATAGCCTGGCTCCAAGGTCCACCTAGACAGGGATTTTTTAGCAACTTGTGTATATAAAAAATTATCCCACAATTATGCAAGTTTTCCATTGGTACTGGAATAGCTCTGCATTGTAAGTCATGTGTCCCAGAGATAAAGGACACCATAAAATGGCTTGTGGAGGGGAGCCTGCAGCACCCAGGAACCAGCACCATGTTTGGAGTGCTTTTTGCTGTGTTGACTCTGGCACCTGCAGGTACGTGTCCAATTCCTGCATCAGTTTTAAAGGAAAAAGTTAATTAAAATCTAGAAACACCTTTCCTTTCTTAGAGAAAGTAGAGCAACAAAAATTCATTGCAGTAACCAGGGGCTGTGCTATTCCATATCTTAAATTTTTTACTACTTTTAAAACACAAATCCCATTTTGTGTGTCTTCCAGCCCTTGGCTGTGGGGTTCCTGCCTACCCGCCTATCGTGTCAAGAGTTGTTGGAGGGGAAAATGCAAGACCCTACAGCTGGCCCTGGCAGGTTGGTTGTTCTGTGCTTTCCCTGGAGCTGTTGGGGCTGTGCCACCCTCACACAGCACAGCTGAATAAAACCACTTCTTTTAATTTCCTTTGATGCATCTTGCCTGTCGTGAGTTAGGTTTTGATATTCCATTCTGATCGACCCCAAAGCTTCCTCTCTTTAAGAAAGCTCTGAATGTGCCACCTCTTGCTGGCTATGCAGGTTTTCTAGTCAAGTCAAGTAGATCTATTTAAGTGAGATACCTTTAAAACCTCAAGCTTTTGGATGATGGGGAAGGATGGAAAGCTCTTCTGTGGCCAGGAGTTGGAAACTTGTTGCTCCAAAGCCTTCCACCCTTTTCCAGCAGCGAGTTGTGTTCTGGGTGCAGGAACAAAGCACAGCAATGAAAGATCAGTACCAAAAATCTGAGCCTCACTCTGTTCCTTGATCCCAGGCCTCCCTGCAATACTATTCCAATGGCAACTGGCGTCACACCTGTGGGGGAACCCTCATTGCAACCAACTGGGTGATGACAGCTGCCCACTGCATCAGGTAAGAAACGGAGGGAAATCTGCACCCATGTGAGCAGACAGAGCTGAAGCAAACCCACAGCAGTGCCAGCTCTCCCTTTCGCAGTCAAGAGCTCTGAGTTCCAGATCATATATTTTGATTATAACTAAGAAGTCAGAAGAATGACACCTTTTCATTTTCTTAAAATGGAAGTGAAAGGCAAAACCCCCTCATAATAATATTATGATTCAGTTACCTGTATTATATACTCTTCATTTGCTGTAAATAATTACAAAAGTCCTTTTGTTTTCAAGTTGCTGTTAAAATTCAGCCTGTGTTGCCTGTTTCTGTAATAAACATGTCAGTGACATTCACGGATTAACTAATCAGTCTACTCCCTGAAGAAATAATCACAAATGTTTTGAATTCATCAGTCATTTTCAGTAAACTCTTCATGTTATGGGGCAGTATAACAAAAAATGATCAGGTACAGTTCTGTCCTTCCACCATCAAAACTGTTTCCACAAAGACAACCCCATTTTGCTTTGGTAGCATATGGTTATTGGAAAACTATGTTGTAGAAAATATCCTAGTATGAAATATGAAGGATTGGCTGAATGTTATTATTATAAATTCTACATATTATATCTGTCACATAGTTGTTTGTTAGTGAAGCTGCTTATGGCTGTCAAAAAAACTGTTTATTGTATTGAAGAATATGAGCTGAATCCTGCAAAGACTGGAGGCACCTTCAGTTTGTTAATGAAGCCTTGAGCAGGAGCTGACAGGATGGCTCAGAGATGAAATTATTATCGAACCTAGAACAGTGATTAACAAATCACTGGCTCAGCTCCAGACACATCATGGGAGATTACAGCCAAGGATATTCTTTTTTTGAGTCTCTCAGGTGGCAAAGCTGCAGCAGCCTGAGCAGCAGCTGCATCACTGAGTGTTGATCCTTTCCTTGCCCAGTTCTACTCTGACATATCGAGTGTTCCTTGGGAAGTACAACCTGGCAGCTGAGGAAGAAGGGTCAGTTGCAGTTTCTCCAGAGAAGATCATTGTCAACGAGAACTGGGATCCACAGAACGTTGCCAATGGGTAAGTTGGTGGCAGGTACTTTGACAGGTTTTAGACCCAGGGCAAAAATCAAACTGCCTGAGTCCCACCCACCCGGAGCTGTGGCAGCACAAACACTCAGAGCCTCCTGTTACACCTTGCAGTGGTGCTGCTAAATATTTACTCATAAATGAGAGCTGAGCCTCCAGTTTATACTTTTCCCCACTCAAGAGAATACAA